TCACAGGCTTGTGGTGCCATCCGCTTTGCAGAGTAAGGCCGTTTGGGCCGCACACGAGCAGCTTTTGCACCTGGGGACCCACAAGACCCTTGCCGTGCTCCAGCTGGATTTCTTCTGGCCGGGTATGGCAATGGATGTGGATGACCTCCTGGGTGCATGCACTCAGTGCGCCCAACGAAAACCACCAGCGAAAGGCACCTGCCCACCGCTACAATCTATCACGGTCTCTCGGGTTAACGAACTCGTCGCACTCGGTATATTGGGGCCCTTCCCTGCGACCCCTAGGGGTAACAAGTACCTGCTGGTTGGCGTGGAATATTTCACCCGATGGCCTATGGCATGGCCTCTCGCTAACCAGTCAGCAGCAGCCGTTGCCGAGGCCTTTGTCCAGGGCTATGTCCTCGACAAGGGTGCTCCCGAACGGCTGCTGACTGACCAAGGGAAGAACTTCTCTGGCGTCCTTCTGCACGAGGTGTGTGCGCTTCTTGGTACGAAAAAGATTCGCACTTCCCCCTATCACCCACAAACCGATGGCATGGTGGAGCAGCTGCATAGGACGCTCACATCTATGTTGTGTCAACAGGTGTGTGACTCCCAGACCGATTGGGACCTTCACATTCTGGGGGTTTTGGCCGCCTATAGAATGGCTCCTCACGCGGCAACCGGCTTCTCGCCGTTCTTTTTGATGGACGGTCGCGACGTTGACCCACCAATTGCGACTCAGCTCCGCGTCTCGGAAACCAGCAGAAAATCGAAATTGGCCGACCACGTTAAATTTAATATCCTGAGGTTGACCGAGGCGCGGGAGGCAGCGGCCCAAAACTCTTCCTCTCGGCAGAAGGCCAATGAGAGGTTGGGATCGCGCCAATCACGCACACATGCGTGGAAGCCAGGCGATCAAGCCTGGATGCACTGCCCTCAGGTGCCGTTGGCGACCTCGGCGAAATTGTTGCGGCCTTGGAGGGGCCCTGTGGTTATTGTGAAGGTTATGCGGCCGCAGTGCGTTCGTATCCAGTGGGAGAAACGCCGCTGGGACGTACACCCCTCGCGTCTGAAGCCGTTTGTGGCGTCACGTGTCCCTCCACCACATTACACAGGCCGAGCATGTGATGTGTCCGCTTACTCCCGGACGGCGTCTTCGTCACTTGCCCTTGTTGCTTCGCTAACTGTTCCACCTTCAGGCGCCTCAAGAATGACGGCTTCCAGCGCGCCTGCGCCACCCGGTGGGGACGGAGTTTGCCCTTCCGGGGTGACGGAAGACGGTGCACCTGCACAGCCGGTGCCCACTGCTGGGCCGACCGGACCCTCCCCCTACGATGGACCAGCAAAACGGACTCGCGCCAAAACGCGCCGCTTGTTGTAATAATGGTTCTTGTTACTCTTGTTGTTCACTGTTAAGCTTTCTTGCTGCGTTGATGGGGGGGGGGGGGGGGGGGGGGGGTACAATGTATATGTGTATATAATGTAATTTTGTATAGGTGGGTTGGGTTATTTATTGGGGTGTTCGTTCTTATGAGGCACGCACGGGTGGGGGTTTGTTGTGTTTATTGTTCGAGTATTGTTGCAGCCGGGACGGCTGCGGGCTACATGGGAGGGGGTGATGTAGGGGTGCTATGGGGAATAAACACATGGCACGGGAAGGTGTGGTTCACCCACACCTTGGTGGCTACAACAACGTCCGCTAAGGCTCCAGTGGGTATAAAGTGCGGGGAGCCAGGGAGCTCGGGGCAGAGTGTGGGGCCCGAGGCTGAAGCAACCAGTGAAGAAAGAAGGCCAGCTAGGTGAGACCCTGGAACTCCTGTGACCGCTGCCCTTTTCAGGGCCGGCACAGCAAGCCAGTGGAGCGGCCCCAGAGCCCCAGAGTCAGAGTCCTTCTAAGGGCCGGTCTGGTCGGCGGGGTGCCGAGATCTGTGCCTAACCAGGGCCGGATCTAATAGCCTCCCTTAGAGCCCTACCAGGAGGAACTGGGAGCCTAGAGCTTAGGGTAGAGAGCCTGGGGTGTGTTCCTGAGTTATACGGGTGGAGGGGCCGCTACCCCTTCTAGTGTAACCCTTGTTAAGGTTTAAATAAATAGTGCTGCTTCTATTCTGCCGTCTCCTGGAACCCACTACACAAGCACAGAGACAATTTCAACCGAGAAGATGGATTCTGGCTTAGTAACCATTGGAAAGATGTTTTAAACCATTTTCTTTCTTAATTAATTGTATTTTACGATGACCTTCAGACCGCAGCTCTTTCGCTGGCATTGACTCTTAATAGCTCTCACACCACGGTTAATGGTATGGTTTACAACATGGAGTATAACAGCGCCTCGCGGCTGTCTCTCTCCCCCTCCTCTGTACCGACCATAGATGAACTCTTCCGACTGAACGGGACCCGTAGCTATCCGTGTTGCTAAAGTTGAGGGTAAGAATCCACCCATTTTTTCGCCATATAGCATTGTGATATATAACGACTTATTGTTGGTAGCTTAGCTGATTGGAGAATATAGAGTTTATTGATAACATTGAGGTAATTTATATTTTAGTTTTTTATTGGTTCACTATATACCCAGTTACTGTGCATAGCTCAGATGTGTAGGCCTTGACTTCAACATAGCCATTTCTGTGACCAGTCAGAAGCTAATCACTCAGTTATTTCAATGCTAAATTCGCCTAGTTATTTCAATGCTAAATTCTCCTGTTTGATTTGTACTAGGTGCCTCGGGGAATGTATATGCTCTGACTTTAACATAGCTATTTCTGTGACCAGTTACAAGCTATTTCAATGCTAAATTCTATGCTAATTCCTTTGTCAAGGGGTGCCGCTGCGGATGTGTATACTTTAACTTAGCTATTTCAATGCTAAATTCTATGCTAATTCCTTTGTCAAGGGGTGCCTTTGCGGATGTGTATGCTTTAACTTTAACATAGCCATTTCTGTGACCAGTCACAAGCTAATCATTCAGTCATTTCAATGCTAAATTATATGCTAATTCCTTTGTCAAGGCGCTTTGTTTCTTCTCACACAGCTTAAAGGTCGTGATCTGAGCGTGGCTTTTTCACTCCAGCGCTGTCCTCCAGACAGTCTCATCCCTTCACCTGATGAAGGCCACTTGTGTTGTGACCGAAACGTCGTGAGAATATTATTGTGTTATTTTATTTTATCAATTTATTATTTTATTCTCATTCTATGTGACTTTACCGAAAGAACCAAAGAAGATGAATCCTTGCAGTCACGAAAGCTTTAAATCGAAATTTAAATCTTACGTTGTTTATTCTTCCGTCTATAATCTTCACGCGTGCTTCAATGGAATCTAGGCCTGCCTCTCACAAAATACGCTTGCTGTACAAATTGGATAGGTAAGGAGACAGTATACAGCCCTGTCTTACTCCTTTCCCAATGTCAAATTCTTGCGTCTCCCCATACTCTAATCTAACTGTTACTCTTTGGTTGGCATATTATTAAGTAACACAGTGGGTCTTACCTGATTAAAAAAAATGTTGTTTCGATTAAACTTTCTCCAACTGACGTTGAAGGGAGTAATGCATAAGTCCTTTCTGCCTGTCTGTCTGTAACACGACGACCCTTGTAAATATGATCCTACAGGGACGAAGCTTCAGCAAAATGATATGTTGCTATTAGGGGCTTACCGAATTGTGAAAAAAATAAAACGTATAAAAGTGGTGTACAAACGTTTAAGGAACACTCCAGAGCAAAAAAAGCATTAATTGCATAATCGCAAGTAGTGTTTTGTTCTGGAAGATACCGTACAGGATCCGTACTGCTGATTAAACACTTTCAAGGACGAATGTGCATTGGTAAGCTTTAAACAATCTACCCATTTGCGTGTGCACGATAGTACTTTGATTCAACACGTCTTAGGCTTCCGCTACCAATATTATATTATTAAGCTGTTGTGGGCTAGATCGCGCAGACGTTTCGTAAACAAAGGTGGGAGGGAGGAGAGGGAGGGCGTTTCGGAGGGGCCCTGCAGAAGGAGCAGCGGCAGCATCTGAAAGCGCTGCACGATGCGGTTTTACCTCCATTCCGCACCTCCAATTAACACGGTTGGCAATGCACGGTGCAAAATAAGTTCCACATACGTGCATATATACGACTGTCTTTGTTCGATGGTGAGGTCTTCATCCCCGGCTCTCTACAAGGGCAAACGGGGAGCAGTCGCGAGGGCAAAGAACCGCCATGTGCATCGTCCATTTGACCCCTCCTGCCCCCCCCCCAGCAAGCTATTCACCTCACTGACCCAGGTGGCCACTTAGCATCATAAGTGTGGCAGGAGCGAATTGCGGTAGGCTCCAGCTACAGATGCCCGAAGTGGGTAAAAGGGAATGGCTCGCTTTGTTACCCATCTGAGAGAGTCACCGCTCCCGTGTCGCTGCAGCTTTCTCATCTTGACCAGCTCTGGCGGCCGTCCCAGATCTGAGTCTTGCTTTGCCCTCGATTCCTCGTGAAGTCTTTCGTGAAGACTTGTAGTCGTGTTTTGCGTTTTTATCCTTGCGCCGTTGTGCTACAGAGTCGAGAAGAAACTGGGTCCCAGTCTGTCAGTTGCTCATTTTGAAAGAGTCGTGAATTGGTTGTCAATGTTGAGGACTTGTTTTTTATATTATAGCTTGGGCGTTGTAGGAGACCTCTTGTTCGACAATCGTTTAAGCTGGTTGTGATAAATTAGCAATGGCCTGTATCAAACTCCAGGCTACAGACGCTCTGCGATTTGACAGAGTTTTCCATCAAGAGTTAATAAGTATGCAGTCAACGGTATTTCTCTATTTAGCTATCGCTTGACTTCCCGGTAAGTGAATGTTGTGGCTCTGGAGCCACCTGCCACCTATTCTGGCACATAACATAATAAAATAAAATAAAAATATCTTGATTTGAAGCTTTTGTGACTGCAGGAATCCATATTTTTGGTTCTTTCGCTAAAGTCACGTAGGTAGAAAAAATATAATAGATCACGACGTTTTGATCGCAACACAATCGAAAAATCGTGATCTATTATTTTTTCACCTACGTGACTTCACCGAAAGAACCAAAGAGTATTATTTTGTATTTTACCAGGTCAGACTCCACTAAGCTAAGTAGCTCTTTTTTACATAAGTGACTTGGCCATAAATGATAGCTCAACAAAGGGGCTCATCACTTGGGAATTTATAGCAGCCAGTTATCTAAACGTGTGATGTTGATTTGCATGTGGAGGTACCCGGAAAAAATCAAAGCTACTACGGAGATTGAGAGGGACGCAAACTCCAAATATACAGCAGCAGGTGTCAGGGTCAAGATTCAACCTTCGACGAAGATAACATCTCGCCACCGTGGCCCTCCTTAAAAATATATAAATATTAATTTATTTCCCCACAAAGTAGTTCTCATTTAGTCAACCCTTTGAAGGATGATAGCTGAGTTCCCCTCCCCAAGCAATGATTTAAACTCGGGTGCCAAGCTGCCTGAGCTAGTTTGAGATTTTACAGTGCATCTGAGTTAACATTGGGAGAGAGAAAAAACACATTTGTTATGATTAAGATTAATAGTATCATGCATTGTTGCGATTCAAGGATTGTGATTTTATTCTGGAATCTATTTTCTTTACATTGTTGTGAATGAAGCGGCCTCTAGTATCTTCGGAGAAAAGTGAGCTGAATACATAGAACACACGCATGCAGGTAAACAATCGATTCTTGCTTATACAAATAATATGAATGTTTTGTGATGTTCAGACATATTAATCGATGCACCACTATAATTGTTACAAACTAAAACCACAACGTGTGTAATTTATTTACATCGAGTGAATGGTTAATATGAATTTATATATGCAGACGTTTCATTACATCTCAAGCTTTGTGGCATTACCTTGAGAAGTTACTGTCAAATTGTAAACCATCTCATGACGATCAGCTGTGGTTGTTTCCAGAAAACAGCGGTACATTCCACTCGCGTTCGCTGGGACTGAAATCAGAGTGATGGAGCCATTTCCACTGCTCAGGTTCCAAGAGAAAACCATGTAGCAGAGAAGTGGGTTGCAGGATGTGATAGATTGAATGTTACAATATAATATCTGTGGAACAAGATATATTACACGTTCAGCAATTTGTTTTAATTGTTGCACATTAGTGTTTGTATATTTATACCAGTTGGCTGACATTGCACTCGCCAAAAAACTATGCAGATGAACTCTATTGAAAATCTGCTGTTATATTTATATTGAACCAGTTAAAACGTATTATGGAAATTATTTTCGAATTACGTCAAACCATATATTTCATCCGTATATTTTTTAAGGATTGGGGTTAAATCGACAACTTATTTTTTTTAGATTTGCGCAACTATATTAGTTTCCACATGTATTAGTATTTAACGCTTCTAAAACATTGGTAGAATTTGAATGTATCTTCTTTTACATAGCGCATCTCACAGCAAAATAAATCCCCTTGCGTTAACAAAAGGATTTTGACTGAAACCCAAAATGGGGGACCCGGTAGCGAATTGCAGAACTCTGAGCACTGGGGGATGTTTGATCTCAATTGACGTTGTCCACTAAGAACCCCTAGCAGCCCGCATCTTGCACAAGCTGGAGACAACAAAGAAGCTATTCGGGCAGTCCAGCAAACAGCGGTTTTCAATCGGGAATCCTAGAGGTTATAGTAGCGCATGACACATAATCTCTACACCGCTACTATTTCAAAGGGTCAATATCAGGCTATATTTCTGAACTGGTAGAAAGCTGAGCTAATTACAAGAGACAATCACTCCTCTAATCTAGGATTGACATTAAGGGCGATGCCAAAGCGTCGCACGAAAGATTAACGTTTTATTTTATAGCCAGCAACATTAAAAACAAAATCAGAACATTTATTTAGTCTGTATGAATCCGTTGCGCTATTGGAGCTCTTCTTCACAGATGTCCATTCGTTACAACAACAACCAAACGCAGCTGCAGCTGATTGACAACTAATTTCTTGTCGTTGTGTTTTAGTTTGTTTCCCCCCTGTACGTCCAGTTAGTGTGGTTGGCTATGTACGGTGCCAAAGAAGTTCAACACACATACATGGTATACTATACACTACCCTACACTACACCAGTATACACTACACAACGATACACTACACTACTATACACTACACTACTATACACTACACTACTATACACTACACTACTATACACTACACACATACAGATAACCGCACCCATCACTGTCCCCCCACCAGCCCTGGCAAACAGGAGGTAGCTGATATTTAGTCTCACGAGAAGTAACACTGCCTCGCTATCATTGAGGCCAAAGGAAGTTGGAGGTCAACCCATTTTGATGTCCGTACCACCAGCTGCTGCCGAAGAGCCACAGAGTTTGTGTTAAGATTGCTGACGGACCCCCATCTCTGAATGGGGTCTCTGGACAGCTTAAACAAGTGGTTCTTAACCTGGGGAGCATGCACCCCATCTCTGAATGGGGTCTCTGGACAGCTTAGACTAGTGGTTCTTAACCTGGGGAGCATGCACCCCATGTGGGTGTGAGATGCCCTTTCTAGGAGTGTGAGACATGGCCAGATTGTTTTCGAAGGTAAATCATTGACAGACAAATTAGGCACGGGCACGTAATTACAACTAATTTGTTTCATCAAACCTATGTATTTATGAACATGTAACATGTTTAACGATTGAGAACCAGGGGTGCAGTAAAGGTTAAGAAGCACGGGCTTAGACTAACGAGAGAGATCTCTAAAAGGAACTTCGACCTAAGACCGTTTACTTGTAATGTATTTCTTAACATTATTTTAAATACGGCACATTCTGTACGAGTGATATTCACACTGTGTGTAGCAATACAGACGGATATTGCATTGGGCTGATAATCCCTAAAATGTGCTAAATCGGTAATACCATGTGTAATCAGGGATAATACAATACTCACCGTTGTGTTAGACTGTCCATATCTCCATCGCACTCGGTATATTGTGGACGATGTTGAACAGTTAAGGAGCACATCTTCGCCTTCAACAGCCGCCATGTGCTGAATGGGGCTTTTTGCTACATAAAGAAAGATGTGCAAAACGAATGCAGAGACCACCATCATTGAACTTTAATAGCTGGATATGAGCAGCCTGGAAGCATCAAAAAACCATGCCATCTCCACACATACACGGATACCTTTTCAAAATCTCATCTCTGGGAAATGAATTGAGTACAACCCTCCGTATGCGCAAGCTTATGGAAATTTCTAGTTTCGCATATTCGCAAGTTACTAAATGCATACTAATTCCCTATTCGCGAACCTGCTAAACTTCAGTATTCGAGAGTTCTATGAAAGTTCCGACAGACCGCAGAGTTTTACTACAATTTAAAGCTTCCCTGACTGCAGGGATTCATATTCTTGGTTCTTTCGGTAAAGTCACTTAGAAGGGAAATAATATAATACATAAAATAAAACATAATAAAATAATATAGTTTAACTTCATTTGAAACGGTCCGCTGTGAAGATGAGGCGAGCCCTCTCTGGGCCACCCGCTGTGTCCTGAACTCGCTATTGTGCATTTGTTACTTTACATACTTACAGTTTACTCGGTCATACATTTTATGAATCATTGTCAAATCAATATAATCATCGTTAAAGGTAATTAAAAAATGTGTTGTGCGGTTTATTATTTATTTTAGCCATTGTTATTAAACTTTTCCAATTTCTCACTCAATGTTCACTTGTAACAGGAGCATTCCCCCCATTTCCCCCCAAATGGAACAAATGTTTCTGGATTCGCAAAATTCTGAATTTCGAGCAATTTTCAAGAAATATCACGCTCGCGTATCGAGAGAGGGTTTAGTGACGAACATTACTCTGGGTGGCAGAGTGGGTGGAGAAGTGCTGCCCCCTATTGTGAGGGTGAGATGTTCTTTCAAGGGGGATTTTAGCGGTAGCTGTGAGGTTGCGTATCTCGTGATATTATGTTGATAACATAATTGGGGGAAACGATTGAAGACATAAAAGGGTCACGCGCGGTTGAGGAGGCCCTCACTGCCAATGCCGTTGATGCCACTGTCAGTCCCAGTGTTCGCCGAGTACTCATTACACACACTGCGCTTGCCACAAATGAATCACAATACCTTGCTGATCTCGTCAAGGAGCATAAACTATCACGCAAACTCCGTCATCCTCGCAGTGGCAGCTTTTGGCTCTCCATCGAACAAAGATGGTCACCACATCATGCACTTTCAGATGTGCTTCTGGGGCCGTCAGGAATGCTCTTCCTTGCGATATTGGTAAGCTTCTGGAGCTGTGCACTTTGACATGATTTATATTCACAACTCATTTCTTCATAACTGATGTTTGCATTTCGTTTGTTCTTCCCCCTCACCTCCGATTGGGACGGTTGACTACATAAGGTGCGAAATAGGTTCAACATACATACACACGTACATACAACCACTCCACCACCACTATTAACTCGGCTTATTTTAATCACAAACGTATTGATATGAATAAAGCTGTATCATTAATCTACAGCGGACACGAATAACGCTATTACTGAACGGAACTTATTAGGTGTGTGTAGCTTATTTCTAACTCACAACCCATGCCCCACATCAAAATGCGCGTGGTCGCTATGAGTGACACGGACGACACAACTCCTGCCTGTTGCACAAAGTGATGGAGCCGCTATGCGAGCCTCGTGGTCTCACCGCGGACTATGGAGCCTGAGATGTGTTTTTAGATATGATTTTAACAGGTAAGGCCAACCGCATGCACATTTCAAATATACAGCAGGCGTCAGGGTCTGAATCGAACCGACGACCTCCTGCATTCCAGGCGAGGTAGTTAACATCTCCTTGGAGTTTGGGGGTGGGGGCGCTGATTGCATGGTTTGCCTCGGGCGCCAGTTGCTGGTAGCTAGTCTAGGGCTGTCCCTGAGAGAGAGACAAGCAAACTCCAATTATATAGCAGCCATCAGTGTCGGGATCGAACCCACGACAACCCTGCATACCAGACGAGGCAGTTAACATCTCCTAGCCACAGTGGTATGGGTGCGACCTGTGCCGTATTAACCTCGTGGGGGGCCCTAAAAAAAACGTAAATATTAAAAGACAAATGTTTTACTTGCATAGTAAAGTAATTGTATTTGCAATACAGCCAGATAATACAACAAATCGCTCACCTTAAACACCCAGTCGTTCATAAAAGTTGAAGGCAGTATAGTACTATAGTAATAGAGCAAGTGTAGAATCACTGAATTGGAATTGAATGCTTGAAAGCATTTAGCGCGGAGCATACGTAGCAGCTTTTACTACTAGGATAATCCGGCCCTGGGCGCGACCATTACGATCGCAATTTTAAACAACCGAAGGAGCGCACATTGGAGAGCACACACACACGCTGAATTCTGTTGTTTACCAACGTTCCACTCCATCTTTCTTACCTGAGTTCATCACGTGCACTGCCACCACCATTACCGTTACGATGAAGGCGGATTCGCGGTGGTTCATGGTTGGGAGCTCCTAGGGCGGGTAACAAGAGCAGGGATGACGACAGGGCAAGGTAGGAGCAAGCACAACACACAGGGTCCCGTTGTTACCAGTTATATTCACTTTACACTACAATACACTACACTACTATACACTACACTTTACACTACATACTGCACTCTATACACTGCACTACTTTACACAACACACTACACTATTATACACTACGTGATTATACACTCCACTACAGCACTGTACTACATTGAAAACTAATTATGTTTTCTTGTTACGTGCATATTTTCTCGTTATTTACGTATTACCTTTTTTTGATAAGTAGTGGGGTTTTATTTTCGTCTTTTTGCACGGAACTGGATAATAGATGTGCAGCGTTGTGGGATGCAATTGCATGAATGAAGCTATTTGAAGTTTTTTTTATTATTATTATTACGGTGAGAAATAAGTTCAACATATATACAAATAAGCATAGCATGAAACAGTCGGTGCTGGCGTTGCATTGTGTTCTTGTCTCCAGGAACTGGTGCAGGAGAACGACATTGCTCTGCATGACCGCTGACCGCGTGTCTGTTCCTCTAGCGCAGTGGTTCTCAAAGGTGCGGTCCCCTGACCCAGGAGTGGCTGTGATGTGTAGCCCGGTGTGAGCTCACCTGGCCATCACAAATGATAGCAGTTCAACCTAAGTGGCTTGCCATGTGGACATTTATAGACGCCAAATAATCTATATGGCATGTTGATTCTAAATTTGGAAGGAAAAACCGGAAGACCCCGGAGACAGAAAGAGAGGAAGAGAGAGATGCAAACTCTAAATATATGTAGTGACATATAATGGGTCACTACAGCACCGAGTGCCAGTTACTGATAGAGAGGGGAACTGGGAGTGAAGTAGCCCTCTCTGCCAGCAGGATATCCAATGTCATGGAAAGGGTCCCTAGGGGGCATAGTTCTGGTGACTGGCAGAGAGAGGGCATCTGAAGACGTAGCAGCCCTGTTGAGTGGCAAGGGCACGTGCTAGGCCAGGGTAAGGGAAGTGGGCCAAAGGTGTATGGCCCAGAACCTTCTGGTAGGTTCCAGAAGGGGGTGTGGCCGAGGGTGGAGCCAGGCCACGCTGGGAGGTATAAAAGGGAGGTCCTGAGGCTGCATCGGGGCTGTCTGCTGGAATGGAACCCGCCGTGCTACGTCTTCCCCTGAGTCTTCGGTCTTCGTGCTCAGCATCGTGGGTCAGGCAGTGTGCCGACTGACCTGACCCGTTTATGTAGTTATCCCGTGGTGGTTACCGGTTGTTATGTAGTTATCCCGTGGTGGTAACCGGTTATGTAGTTACCCCGTTGTGTTTGTAGAATAAACGTGTTGCCTCCTGAGTTAGTGTGTCTCTCAGTAAACCCACTACATATACAATGGGCATCGTTAGTCGGGATAGAACCCACGCCCTCCTGCATACCAGGCAAGGGGGATAACATCTCGTCACTGCGGCGCCCCACGTTCACTGCACATCGGCAAAAAGCCACGCTTTGAAAAACACTTTCAATGGAAGTGTAGCCGGGTATGAGCTCACCTGTCATTAATGACACGTATAAGTGTGCACTCTGCTCATAGCTAGGGGTAGGCAGGTGTTTTATTTTATTATTTAAGTGAATGCCAACGGTGATCAGCGATTGGACCACGAGCCCCCCACGTGCAAAGCAGAGTACGAGACACGTCCCCAATTTAGATTTGCGCGGACTTCGTGCTGGTGAACTGCACATTTGGCATTAGCTCAGGCCCGGATGAATGTTCTCGTAGGTCCTAGAAACTTCTGTTTCATAGGCCTTCAGTGATAACTTTCTACACTTGGTACTGCTGCTGCCCATGTTAATACCGCCACTGTCATGTCACTCCATTAGCTTCACACGTACTTCGTCCAGCCGCAGCTGGACAAGATGTCGTTACTGCTGACAGGTTAATTATTTAGTCTGTGCCCTCATTGCAGATAGGAAATATCCCTTCTGAAGACGACTTTTGAAAAAAGTTTTGCCGTTTCACAACCACCACCACAAACCACTGGTGGCTCAGCTGATGTGGAGTTGCCACTACTTCTCCAGAAGACAGAACACAACGCAGAGTACATCGAATCATCGTCTCAGAACTTTATTAGTTTTATTGTTGTTATTGTTCTGACTGCTGTCTATTTAGCCGACCTGTCCCCCCTCGCAACGATTCACGAAAACGGAACAAGAGGGTACAGCAGGGCAGACCGGCTACAGATGCAAACACAGGTTCAGAATCAGAATCATAATTTACACTGCAGGAGGACATCCGATGAGCCATGAAACTCTTTTTGTCACAGGTGTCCATAAGGACATGTTTAGACCCTTGTTTCAGACATTAATAATAATATAACTCTCTTTAGGTGAAAAAAATACAAAAAATGAAATAAAAATAAATAAATAATCATTATTTATTCACCTACGTGACTTTCCCGAAAGAACCAAAGAAATGAGGTCAATTACCCTCATCAAACTGCCTGATCCCTAAGAGATAAATCCCTCCCGCCCCCCCATAAAAATATATCATTATAGTTGTGTAAAAACGCAGCTATAAGGATGTTCCGGTAATATGAATCCTGTTATATTGCTGGTATTTACAAAGATAAGTGAATGCGTTTCGTCACGAGGGGTAGAGAGGTTGAGTGGTTAGCAGAAATGTTTGGCGCCACGGTGATGAGATGTTAACTACCTCGCTTGGTATGCAGGAGATTGTGGGCTCGATCCCGACCCTAACGCCTGCCGTATATTTGGAGTGTGCGTATCTCTCTCTCCCCGTGGTCACTTTGATTTTTCTCCGGGTCCTCAGGTTTTGTCTCTACACATTAAGAGTCGATGTGCGTTTAGAGTATTTGGATATTGCTATGAATGTCCACGTGATAAGCCACTTTGTTGAGCCGTAATTTGTGATGGCCAGGTCGCTTCTGAAAAATAACTACATAGCTCAGTGGACTTTACCTGGCACAATTAAAAAAAACATCGTAGTCATAGTTTGCATCGGATAAGTGGTCAATCGACATCAACAACAACAATTTGACTTATCATCAAAGTCCACAGCGTCAACACATCGATATCAAGAACAATTAAACATGAAACAAAATGTCAACGTCACCAACTGTATAACATCAACAAAGATCGGTAACAATAATACATCAAAGATAGAATAACAATAATGTAACGGAAACAATAAAATGACAATATAACACCACCATCATTAACATATCAACAACACTAAATATAAATTAAGACCATAATCTCTATGTACGTCTCAAAACACCTCTAGAGTACTTCCCAACAAGGTAGAAAGCTGCAATTTGGTACATAGGTCGCTTTTATGACACAAACTTCAGAAGATAAATCTTAAAATCCGAGATTTTTCATTTTAAGGCCCCCAAATATCGCTTTTAAGTGCCCTATAAACATGTTTGTGCATGTCATTCACAAAACGTTCAAAATATAAGATTGCGTTTGTTTACTTTGATAGAGCATTAAACAGCAAATCCAATTTTAGTGAGAACCACTCTTGATTTGAAGCTTTCGTGACTGCAGGAATCCATACTCTTTGGTTCTTTCGGTAAAGTCACGTAGGTATAAAATCAAATAAGTGACATATTTAATACCTACGCGACTTTACCGAAAGAACCAAAGAGTATAGAGAACCATTCTTTTATATTTTTTTAGATATTTCGGTTTCAAGTGGTTTTTAATGAAAAAAAAAATTTATGATGTAGAAATGTTTTGTTCTTTCTTCTAAAAAAAGAATGGAATATTTAAATTGAGCAGTTTCCGATGGGTACGGCTTTAACATGAGAAGTTGAATCAAAGTTGTCAACAATTACATTTTTTAGCGGAATTTTTTTAGTAGTTTTTCATGTCCGATCATAGATAAAAGTTGTAAACAAAACCTAGCAAAATGATTATGTTTAATGAAATATTTTGCCTGGCGAAGACAGCTTTATGAACTAGTAATATAACCTATCAACATCAAAACACAACATGACGTAACATCAATACCAGCAACGTTCTGACATAACAATACCAACGTCTCCCCAACATCGACAACGCCACGACGTGTAAACATGAGTTCGATTCCTGGCCACGGAGAGCATAGATGCTGAATTTAGATCTGAAAAAGTGATGGCTCCCTCATCTCCCCTCCATTTAACCACCAACTGGCATTGACCAGCGTGGCGAAGTATGATGTAGCAAATACACTCCGCATATACAAAATGCCACGAGCCCCATGGAGCATTTCCAGAGGCAAACACAACAGCAAAGATACAGATCCCCCGTGTAGCCTCTAACAGAGTGTTGGGGCAAGAGCAGTGAGTAGTGAGCACCTACGGAGGCCAGCACAAAACACGAAGGGGGAGGTGTATGGCCAACACCTTGCCCGGCCGCCTTTGTCTCCCCAATGCTGATATTTTTGCTTCACAGCAGAGGCTCATTAAAGGCTGAGTCAAGCTAGCGTAGTCCCAAAACTGGTCCAGATAATAGTCACCGATGGTGGCCGTGAGCGGGAATGGAACTCGGGTCGCCGGGTTCCTAGGGCCGTACACTAATCGCTAAACTACCACTCCCGTACATAGGAGCACACAGACATTGCTATGCACACACGCAGCATGTGTTAGTACAGCCACATTACACAAAAAGACATCCCCCTTAAAGCTTTGAACAAACTGTTGGGGCAAGTGCTCGTAGCGAGTAACGCCTACGAAGGGGATGGGTGGCTAACACCGCACTCATTATACACACAAAGTGCTTGCCACAAATGAACCACAATACCTCGCTGATCTCGTCAAAGAGCATAAAACATCACGTGAACTCCGGTCATCATCGCAGTAACGGATTTTGGATAGCAATCGAACAAAGATGGTCACCGCATCGCACGCTTTCAAATTATATTTTAAATACACGACACTATACTACACCAATATACACGACGCTATACACTACACTATAGACTACACTTTTGGCTAGCCATCGAATAGAGAGAGGTCACCGCATCGCGCTTCTGCAGCCGTCTGGAGCGCTCTTCCTTGCGATATTAGGAAGCCACTGGAGCTATGCAGTTTTAAATCATAGAGATTGACAACTCATTGCTTTAGAACTGCTTTTTGTGTTTAGTTTGTTGTCCTTCCCCTGCACAACCGATGAGCAGTTGGCTACATACAGTGCCAAAGAAGTTCAACACACGTACACAAAACATACAACATACATACAACATGCATATAACATACACACAACATACATACGGATGCGTAGCTCTCGCTTTGTCTGCGCTCGCGTCTTGCTCCAAGCTGCAGCTCCTTCGCGATAGCCGCTGTGAGCAATGGGCGTGCGGTCGAGCAAGATGCGTCACTCGGTCGGTGAGAAATTCCATTTCCTCTCTGGGAAAAATCGCCGTGTTGTTATTTACCACAGCCACGAGCAGGGCTGTGTGTGAGCGAGTGTGTGTGTGCGTATGTTTCTGGGTCAGCAGTAGTGTAGTGGTTAGCGTGCTCTGCTCCGACCCCGACGACCACAGTTCGATTTCCGTTCACGACCACCACCCAGTGATGATTTTTTTAACGGGTCCTGTGCCTCCCCTAAATCGACTCAGCCTAAAACTAATATCTGGAGTGGTGTGTAAACATCGCCACGAGGGAAACAAAGGCGGCCTTCATAAGGTAGCCACGTCGGTTCTAAAAAAAATAGCTATATAGCTCAGTGAGCTTTACCTGGTAAATAGTTTAGTTGAGCAATGGTTGTGAGCGCAGTGGCTGTCAGGGCTGCACTCTTACCTGGTGAGCTAAACCCAGAAGCCTCAAGCCACGTGCGCGAGATCGAACCCAGGCAATGGCCGTGGCCGGTCATGCGTGCACAGAGATGGGTTTGGAGCCACATTTCTCTCTTGATAACATAATAAAAGACAAATCTTCCCATTCAAAACACGAGACTATGCTCATAAGTAATAGCCAATGCACTAGCTCGTTGTCTCTTAACTGATACACGGGCAGTCCTCCATTTACGAATGGGTCCCGTTCCTGAGAGCGATTCGTAAGTCGAATGGTTCGTCATTCGGAACACAACAATGCACTGCATTTAAATGCACATATTGTCAGTGTTCTACAATTAGTTACGATTCAACAAGAAAAAAGGGAAGCATTGTAAAACTCATAAATAAGAATAAATATTGTACATTTACACGTAATAAGTAACATGGAATATAATAAGTAAGAAACATTTCACCTCCGATTAACACGGTTCACTACATATGGTGGGAAATAAGTTGGCTTGCTTGTCGGAAGGGGCGTACCGAGTCCCCACAATTGTACGCACGCACACACAACAACAACAACCGCCATTCGCCACGAAGTGGCGGTGACGTCACCACGACGCTTGTGCCAGACCATGTGCACCTTGAGGCCACGTGAAATATCGAAGGCCCGCTGGTAGGAGGTCACGGGGCAGACCCAGGTGCCACGGGTCTTCTCTAGCCCGTGCCACGCCCGTTTAGCCCCCTCGATCTGGCCGAACAAAAGCTGTTTGGGCATGCGGTGGCTGGGCATTCGGGCTACATGACCCAGCCAACGCAGCCTTGCCTGCCGGAGGAGCTCACCGATGAGACATTGCCCAGATCTTTCAAGGATTTGTGAGCTCCTCACACAATCCAGCCTGGTTAAACCCAGGATAGATCGTAAGCAGGCCAGCCTAAATGTTTCCAACCGGCGAAGATGCTCCATTAAGGGGGTCCACGTTTCACAAGCGTAGAGAAGGGAGGGAATGACCGTGGCCGAGAAGACCTGAAGCTTAGTGCGGAGCAACAGACCAGGTAGCTTCCACACAGCGTTACGCAACCGATGAAAATATATTGCCGCTCGACTGATTCGGAGTGAGACCCTCTGCTGTTAAACTGGAGCCGGTCATAAGCACACTGCCCAGATATGGGAAACTCTCCACTCTCTCCACAACTGCCCCATCACCGATTGGGAGTTGTGGGGGTGGAGTACCCGATGGTTCAAAATACCCAGGCAGGTGCTTAGTTTTGGTGGGGCTGATGGTAAGGCCCCATCTCTTAGTGGCACGCTCCAGTCTCAGCAGCAGAGTCTCCAGCTGCTCCTCTGAATGAGCAGCTATTACCAAATCATCGGCATACATAGCGTGGTTGAGCAATAGGGAGCCATCCCTTGACCGCACCCGGGCATCGATCAGCCTCCCATTATATCTGTACCAAATGGAGATTCCCCCGGTACAGCTATTGAAGGCTTCACGAACTACGTGGTCAAAATAGATGTTAAATAATGTGGCAGTCAGAGGACATCCCTGTCGCACCCCACGATGTACAGGGAATGGCTCTGACTCCTGGCCTGTAGTTTTACCTGGGCCAGCTCACCATCATGAAGGTCCTTAATTATCGTGAGCAGAGGGTCAGGGACTCCAAAATCACGAAGAACAACCCAGAGCCCAGGCCTACTGATAGTATCATAGGCCTTGACCAGGTCAAAAAGCAGAGATGTAGGTCTTGTTGGAATTCCCTACACCTCTGCTGTAGCAGACGGACAGAAAACATGGCATCTGTGCAGGACCGCCCTTTCCTGAAACCGCATTGTTGCTCCGCAAGCCTGGCAAGGCGATGTTGAATAATCTTTGCCAGGACCTTTCCCGGCACACTGAGGAGTGAGATGCCTCTGTAGTTGTTACAGTCTGTGCAGTCCCCCTTCTTAAAGAAGGGGACCACCAGGGCATCCTTTCAATCCTGCGGAACCTGTCCGGTGGTCCAGACTGTTGTTATGATGTCATATAGGGCAGTCTGTGCACAAACGCCACCCTCCCTCAGCATTTCGCCTGGGAGATCACCTCTGCCCGCTGCCTTTCTTGGTCTCAAACTCCGGATCGCATTCAGTACTTCCTCAACAGATGGTACTTCAGCCAGCCACTCACAGGGGGTGACTTCTTCCAATTTTTGAGGTACCGCAGCCTCAGCAGGGTCATCCTCACTTTGTGCCACGATGTTTTCCTGACTGAGGGATTTTCCCTCCCCCAGGACCTCACAGAAATGCTCAGCAAATCTGCAAACCTGTTCCTGGGGGTCGGAGATTGGATCACCGTGTTTTCTCCTAATGATGGTAATAGGTGTGGTGCTGCAGGTTACTTTTTTGACGGAGTTAAATAGAGTTTTGTGATCGCGGGCCACTGAGGCAGACTCCATCTCCTCAGCAACCCGCGACCACCACCCATCCTTCCAGCGCCTCACGGCTCTCCAAACCTCCGAGCGAAGGCTGCGGTAAGCCTCCCCATTCTCCGACGTGGGATTCTGTAGCCGATGACAGTGGGCCTGTCGCTTTTTCTCAAACATCCTGAACACCTCCTATGTCAGCCAGGGTCTCTGGGGAGGTCTGGATCGCGTACCCAAAGCAGCCATTGCAGCTGCATGAGTCACAGTTCTAAACCTCGCCCATTTACCCTCGACATCAGGAGGAGTGAGGGACGATGCCAACCCCAGCCGCAAGCGATGATGAAATTATCGCTTGCAACTTTCATAAGATAACTGAGACCAGGCCACTTTAGGTTGGAATGGGGTCCTGGGTGTACACCCACCACCGGAGTGGAAGAATGGCAGGCGCATCTTACAGATGACTAGTCGACGGTCAGAGGGCAGGTCAGCTCCACGGTAGGTTCTGGTGTCAAGGACATGGGCTCGCATCCGCTGGTCCGTCACTATGTAGCCCAGCAGATGTTCTTGCTTGGACCCGGCATGCATCCCTGATGTTGTGTGGATGCGCAGATGCCGGAACAGCGTGTTGGTAATTACAAGCCCATGGGCTGCACAAAAATCTAGCAGCCTCCTACAATTGTTATTGAGCTGATCTGGCCCATGCCCTCCAATCACCCCAGACCAGGTGCCAGCATCATGACCAACTCAGGCATTGAAGTCACCCAACAAGATGACTCTATCCCGAGGGGGCACTTTAGCCAGCACCTGTGACAGGAGGTCATAGAAGGCATCTGACTCATCGGCTTTGCCTGCATCCCTCCACGGATGTTCGTCTTCGGTGGGGGCATAAGTAACCACGACCACCACTCCTCGCCTCCGGTTGATGGGAAGGCGAGCCCAAAGTAGCCTGGGGCTTACAGCTTCCCACACCTCACCGCCACGCTCCCATGCCCCCTTCATTCTTTTGTTCAAAAGAAGAGTCACAGACACACACACACACAGACATACACACACGCACAGAACGACAATGATCCCCTGTGTAGCCTTACAGACTGTTGGGGCAAGTACTGTTAGCGAGCAGCACTGTATACAGACACACACACACAGATACATAGACACACGCATACAGAGATAAAGATCACCTGTGTAGCCTGTGAGAGACTATTGGGGCAAGTGCTGTTAGCAAGCAGCACCTATGAAGGCCGGCACTGCACACGAGGGGGTGGGTGGCCATCACCACGCCCGGGCGCCTTTGATTCCACAGTGGCGGTGTTTACACACCGCAGCAGGTGTACATTTGAGGCTGAGTCGACCTAGAGGATGCCCAGAGACCCATTCAGATGAATGTCAGTGGTGTTGGTCGTGACCGGGAATTTTGTGAGATTACTTTCCAACACAACGGTGTATTGAAGCAGAAATGCACTTACATTGTTTGTTCACATGCCAATTATATTAATTTGCTATGCCGGGTGGAGGGGTGTTTACGACACACATTTTACATACGCGGTCTGATCCAAAAAATCTACTTTGAATCAAGATTTTGGTCATGGCAGCCCACACCTTGATTCATATCAACATTTATCATTGGACTTCAACTCCTCGCTCACAGTCTGAGTCAGCTGGGCCCCACAGTGGCAAGATGTTCACTATCTCGCCTGCTATGCAGGAGGTCGTGGGTTCGATTCACACCCTGACTTCACAGTGGCTAAGATATGTTATATACCTCGCCTGGTATACAGGGTTGTGGGTTCGATCCCTATCCCGACCCTGACGCCTGTATATTTGGAGTTTGCGTGTCTCTCTCATCGTGGTCATGTGGATTTTTTTCTGGGTCGTCCTGTTTTTCCCTCCACATTTATAAAAATGCTTTTGAGTGTTTGGCTGCGATAAACTTCTACATTATGAGCTACTTTGTTGAGCAATCATTTGTGGCCAGATCGCTTCTGAAAAAGAGCTACATAGTTCAGTGGGGTTAACCTGGTAAAGTTAAAACAGCCACCTACCTTCTCTCTCTGTGTGTGTCGGTGGGACACTGAGCCAACCAGCGGCCCAGGTTATCAAAGCAGACAAATGGTGGTCAACAACTCGCAAGAGTTTGCTAGCCAAAAGGACACGATGATGATTATCATCAATGGGCAACCTTGGTTAATCCACTATTGGGATGATGAAGGCCCTCCACAACCCATTGTCAGCTTCTCAAACGACCTGGTACAGAGCATCACATTCAATCAGTAGTGCGCGCGTTGAAATGCTACCTTTGTAGAGAGGTGGATTTTCTACCAGAGTGGTTCAATCTGTAGGCAAGGGAGTGGGTGACCGCACTGGGGAGCCTACTAAAGGCTGTATGGAAGCGATAAGGTGGCTTTAAAAATAAAAATCTTAATCCAGGCTTCCACTGAAAACCGCGAGCTCACAAATAAAGCGGAGTGGTCTGTGGCACACTGTACACCTTCAGATCGCTCGGAGACGTCATGGCTACCTGATGCTTTACTCCCAGAGATGTAATTTATTTATTTTAAAGCGTTTGTAAAAAAATAAAGATAACATATATACAGC